AAAAAACATCACTACCATCTTTTTGTCTTCATGTTCGCGCTCCCGTGTTGCAAGACCACATGACCTGGCGGCCATGCGTTGTGGGAGTGCGAGTGCTTTCGATTGGGCGCTTGCGGCGTTGAGGTGTGCTTGGCGAGGGCTTGCACTTGTGGCATGTCAATTTCTTTATCCAATTTTTTTGTTCTGTTTTTTTGGTACGAGGAAAATATAGCATGTAAAGGAGTCTCTTTTCAAGTCCCACGGCAGTACTGTATTCTTTGTACAGAGCGCGAGCGAAGGTCCGAGACGAAAAGAAACAGACGGAGCGCGCTTTTAGTTCAGGTAGAGTAGTTGAGCAGAACGCAAATAGATCAACTCACCACGCCAAACGGGTGCATTGCCATGGCGCCTCTTTTTGTTTTTTGGAGGGCGCTGCTGCACTTGTCCTTGAGCAGCAGCCGGTTAGACAGGTAGATGGTGGCAGCCATCAGAGAGACTTGACACGGTTCTGAAGGGAGCTAAGAGGGGTCGTGATCAGATGGCCTGGAGCTATGGCCTTTTTGCGTATTTGATTGGAAGGTGCCTTAACAGCGGCAATCCATGACTCCATAGCTGTACCAACCTGTAGCGGCAGCAGAGAACCTGGACTGCGGCTTGTTCGGCCTTTTTGCCTTGATTTTGGTCGCATTCCCATTTGAATACTTTTGCGCGCACCTTTTTGGGTTTTTTTTATGCCCACCCAACCCGATTTTCTGCCAAATATTGATTTCTCTCACACGTGAGGTACCCGCCGCCGCAGGGTCCAACGCGACTTCCCAACATCGAAATTAAGCTCGTCCACTCAGCCTGGGGCCTGCGATTCCATCAACCGCACCCTCTCCTTTCACCCGCTCATCGACGGACGGCGCCTTGCGATAGTTGCGATGGCGTCGGGACGCGATGTGCGCGATATGCTCGGCCTGCCTGCTGCCGGCGGTGATGCGCCAAAGACAGTAGGTTCAGCAGCACTGGCGGCGCAGACACAGAAGCGGTCAAAGCCTGCGGGAGGGAGCAGGAAGATACGTACGTTTGGCAACTCTTACGTCTTTCCTTGGGAAATCGTCAAAAGGTCGAGACTGACTCTCATTCGACCAGAGGGCGTTGCGCGCGAGGTTGCTGCGCTGTATGGTGAACGGCCGCCGCCCGTCGCCGTCTACGAGGAGAAGAAGGCGTACAGGGCGAAGAGGCAAAGCACAGGGCCGGCAAAGAAATGGTACGTATAGCAAAAGAGAGATGCAAGAGGATGGACTAATCGCGTTGCGCAGGATACAACAGCCCTTTACCAATCCCGCGCGTGCCGATGGCCTTGTCCTGAGGCACTGGCGGCGCAAGCCCACAGCCGCACCACCTGTACAGGAAGCCGATGACGCGACGATGCACGAAGGCGACGCGACAGAAACCTCGGACACCTATGTCGAAACATGCTCAGACTACGCAAAGTACGACATCAAGGTCGACATGCCCAGCTTCACCGACGAGGAGTACGACCAGTTCCTGCGCAGCGACGACTGGAGCCGCGAAGAGACAGACTACTTGTTTGAGGTCGTCCGAGACTACTCATACCGATGGCCTGTCATATGGGACCGCTACGACTATCAGCCGTCGCGACAGTACGCGCCAGACTTGACAGACAGTGGCGACCAAGCACTCGCGACGATGCCGTTTGCGCCATCAAAAAAGCGATCACTGGAAGACCTCAAGGCACGCTTTTACGACATCTCTGCGAAACTCATGAAGCAGCGCATACCAGAAGTCTCCATGGATGCCGACCAATACAGCCTCTACGAGATGCTCACCAAATTCGATCCCGTCATGGAAAGGAACCGCAAAATGCTGGCTACAGCGCTCATCAACCGCACAATGGACGAGGTCAAGGAGGAGGAGTTCTTACTCACCGAGCTCCAGCGCATCAACATGGCTGCCAACCGTCTCGATGCCGAACGCGAAGAACTCCGGGCACGGCTCGATGCACCACCACAGAACCCACAAGCATCGGCCGGGCTACAGGCTTTTACATCATCACAAGCATTACAAGCTCTCTTCCAACAACTATTTCAACAAGACCGCAGCAAAAAGCGTGCAGCCGGTGGTGGGTCAGGGCCTGGTCGGCTCAGCCTCTCTGCCAACGACATGGTACACACTCCCGGCTCAGCGCAACAACAACTATCCGCCGCAAATCGCCGGCAAAGCATGGCACAGAACCAACAAACACCCGCCCAAACGCCTGTCAAGCATCTCTCTCCACACCAAGAACATCGCTTCAACGTATCAACACACGACCGGCTCACATCAGGTGTTACGTTTGGCTCTGACAAGTTGCTCAAGATGCGACAGGCCAAGAGCAATGTCCAGACGCAAAAGATTGGCCAAATGCTTGCAGCGCTGGGTGTGAGTGACATTGTCCCAATACCCACTAGCAAAGTGGGTGAAGTCTTTGAAGTTTTGGTTACCAAGGTTAGCAAATTGCTCGATGTGCGAAAAGTGCGCGAGAAGGAAGAGGGAGAATGTAAAGTTTTGCTTGCTATGAAAGAACGACGCATGGGTAGTGGAAACGGAAACAACGGCGGCGCCAGCGAGGAAAGCGAGAGCAGACCGAAACAAGAAGTACGCGATTCGCAAGAGACGCCCGGCGCGGATGCTGATGCCGACGGGGATAACGACGATGAAGACGATGTCAACAAGAACTATGGCGACGATGCCGAAGGAGACAACGACGACAACGAAGAAGGCAACGATGCAGAAAATGCCGAGGACGACGCCGAGTGCGAAGAAGATGAAGGTGGTTTCAATGGCGAAGACGCCGATGATGGCGATGTGGATGCCGAAGGCGAGGACGACAGCAAACAACAGTCTCGAGCAACGAGTCACAGCGCGTCTGGCCAAGGGCACAAGAGAAGTGCAAGTGTCTTTTCACAAGGGAGCGAGATGAGCAGCAAACGAGCGAGAAAGTAGAAAGCTTGTTGTTTTCTTTTCGTTGTTGTTGTTATTGTCGTCGTCTTCATGGGTTGTTGATATTATCCCCCTTTGTGCCTTGAACATTTGCATAGCGTTGGCGTTTGCGGGGGAAATGAATTTAAAGCTACAAGGCTAAGGGAAAGAAATTGGGGGGGGGTTTCCATGATTCCCATCCATCAGTAAAACGGATACATGGAATTAGGCTATGTCTTCTAAACAAATGTACAAATACCCTCTGCTGCTTATTATTTACAAATCCTATGCTCTTCTGTTTGCATGACTTTTTTTTTCGTGTCTCGGAGCAATCATCACATCTTCGCCTTGACTTTATCGTCTTTCTCTTCCAACCTCGCAAATATCGGCGTCCTCCGTCCGCCCTTGAACAAGCCCAACATCTCCCTCCCCATCCACGCCTCCCTACTCTTAATCAGTCCCTTTTCCACATCCGCAAACTGCTCCCCCTGGACCCAAACGCCCCTCCCGTTCGCCGCCATTCCCTCCCCAATCAACCCGCACACTGCCCTGGCCACTGCATCAGGCGAGTTAATCGGCATACCAGATTTAGCCATTTCGCTAGCACGCTGCTCGGGGGATAAATGGCGCAACTCCGGGTTAGCATTTGCAAGAATGGGGGTGAGCGTTATACCGGGGGCGACGAGCGAAATGGCAATGCGTAATTTGGCGCATTCTTGCTTGAGGGCGCGGACGAGGCCGACGAGGCCGTGTTTGGCAGCGGAATAGAGGGGGGCACCCGCGGAACCGAGGTAGCCTGCTAGACTTGCTGTTAGGACTATGGAGCCCGCGCAGTCGCTGCCATTCTGGCGCAAGTAGTGGATTGCGAGTTTGGTGGTGGAGGCGGCGGCGTTGAGGTCTAGAGTGAGGACTCGGTGGTCGGGCTCGGCTAGGTTGCCCGAGGCGTCGAGGGAAGAGGTGAAGAATTGGTCGGCGTGTTCGGTTATGCCGGCGTTGACGAAGACGGCGTCTATACGGGAGAATCTTTCGTGCGCGGCGGCGAAGGCGGCGCGTTGGGCGGGCCAGGAGGTGATGTCGCAGGTGTGGACGAGGAGGTGCGAGGCCGGGTGCGTGAAGGTTGGGGGTGGGGGGTGCAGGTCTACGAGGACGAGGTTGTGGTGCGGGTTGAGGGTGGAGAGGAGGGTGGCGGTTGCGAGGCCGATTCCCGAAGAGCCGCCTGTTATAAGGATTGTTTTTGGGGTGGAGTTTGGGGATGTGAGAGTGGAGAGGGAGGGTTCGAAGAGGGCCATTGTTGTTGCTGTTGGGTGTTGTGGTATGGGATGAGGAATGCTTTGCGATGTAGCGATATGTCAAGTGTTTTACATTGCAGTCCTGTTTGAGACAATGAAGCTAGAAAATAAGCTTTTAAAAAATGATTGGAAGTGAGTTCTTGATTTTATACCGGTAAGCGCATTCGGATTTCGAGGTCCGGACTTGCATCTTGTGCATATACATATGCCGTGATTGGGATCCTTTACCTAGGTAAAAGTCGTATTTGCGGGGCTGTCTTACGATATGCCCATCTGGGCATGTAACCTGAATCATGACAGTCGACGTCGATTCGACTAGGGATATAGATGAGGAGTATAGAGCTGTTAGATCAGTATCTGGTAGACTAAAGGCTAGTCAGACGTAAAAACAATGCCTTGTTCATAGAGGCTGGATGGAATTGAACATGGCCTTGGTCGCAAAAGTCCCGGAGCACTATATGGATGCACTTTTGAGAGAGTATTGTCTCTCCTGATATTCGCAAACAAACGAAGAAGAAGATGCATAAATTCCCATAGTTGAAAGTATGCATGTAATCAACTCCAGGTGGTGGGGGTTCAGCACGCCAAACAAAGGAGCGGCGCACGTGTCGACAGTCTAACCGCTTTCGGAACGTACACCTGGAGTTTCTGGAACTCGACACATGCACTTTGAGCTCCGGGATTCCCAAGTGCACAAGCTCACCAACACTCAAACTCCGCGCTACGACCAATCCTTTTTCGCGGGGTGACTCTCGACCTCTCAGAATGTGGAAGCCAACAGTCCTGCTCGCTGCTGCCCTGGCGGTTCCGGCACAAGCACTTCACTTCTTCCTAGACGGCGCAGTCCAGAAGTGCTTCTACGAGGAATTGCCCAAGGATACACTGGTTGTTGGTACGGGCTACTCTTTCGCTTTGGTCTTCCAAGACTGCTGGACTTTGGAACAGAGCAAAAGAGCCATAACTAACAATATCAGGCCACTACCACGCTGAGCCCTGGGACGACGCGACCAAGTCCTACCTATCCAAATCCGAAGTCGGCGTCTTCGTAACCGTTGAAGAAACATTCGACGACAACCACCGCATCGTGGCCCAACGAGGCTCTGCCGAAGGCCGCTTCACTTTCAGCGCTGCCGACAGCGGACAGCACAGGATCTGTGTCATTCCCCAGAATGTCCAGGGCGGAGGTGGTTGGTTGAACCAAGGTATCCACGGTACTGTCAGGTTCACCCTCGACATGGCGATTGGAGAGACGAGCAGGATCGAGAGCACGGACAAGGACAAGGTCGAGACGCTGGTGCAGAAGGTCAAGGACTTGAACTCGCGACTACTGGACGTCAGGCGAGAACAGGTCTTCCAGAGAGTACGTCTGACTGCGATCCACCAAACTGAAAATCGGAGGCTATATACGTGCAAGTAGGCTAACATGTTATACAGGAGCGCGAGGCCGAATTCCGCGACCAGTCCGAACACACAAACTCGCGCGTCGTCCGCTGGTCAATTATCCAGCTCGTCGTTCTCGGTGTCACTTGCGTCTGGCAACTATCGCATCTGCGCTCCTTCTTCATCAAGCAGAAGCTTACCTAAGAATTCTCGCTCGAAAGAGACACCCCCCCCCTTTCATGCGCATATTTAACGAAGCGGTTGTGGGATCAGGCTGGCGCAGGGGCATATTCCAAAGCAAAATTCATGCGAATGCCGAGGGAGGTTCGGTTTAAAACGTGACTTGTATTGTATGGTGGGCGGGAGGAATACACGGCGTTGAAGAATTGATATTGCTGGGTGTTTAACGTTGGATATTTTGAATCGAGAAGGGCAATTGCAGTATCGTCTTAGTCAGAGTGTATGCCCGTTAGTTGTGGTGTGAGAAGTGGCATATTGTCACTCCCTTTTCTTTTGCAAAGCGGGTTGCATGATTATGTATGCTGAATGGGAATTGGAGAGTCATGACAGATATGTTATGTCACCAATGGAGTATGCTTGCAACACTGTTGATTTTAAAGTCGATATTGCACTGTGAATTTGGCCTCTTTCCTTCCAAGTACTGCTCTACAAGGAAATGCTATATCGCACTCGCTTCTTTGGGTAACCAAGCATAGGAACATGTTGTAGTGTAATGCCATCCGTTCTGATGTCCTTTCCCCATTTATAACCAGACCCTTGAAGAGCAGGTATTCTTGTTAACCTGTGATATGAAGTGATTGGTGGAGTTTTTGAACACGGAACTTTCTTGCTTAGGGAGGTTTATGGAAAGGGGAGGGATGAGCAGAGGTGAAGAAGTACACGGGTTTAATGCGGGCCAAGGCAATGAGCTGTCATATTGTGCACGATTGTATGAGGGTACTATGAAATGATTGAGAATGGGCAGGAGTGGGGACCCTTCTTTGGCAGACATTGTCGTTTGGGTTCTTAGGATAGATTGGGTACTACATTAGTTTTTTTTTTAATCAGACTTCCTCTCTAGACCACGGATTACTGGAGGAGTGCATCGGAATACTCTGCTCAACGGCGGTTAGCTGTTTTGCTGACGATTGAAGGATAGAAATAACGAGTCCAGACTTTGCTTCATCATGATATTCTGGAGCGTGCTCTTCGATGGTGCGATGGCATCCATTTGGGCAGTACGATGCGCTGTGATGTTAAATTGTTAAGGCGGTGGCAAGATAGATTCGATGTATCAGGCCATGTAGAGGTTCAGGTAATATATAGCATGTTTGTAGTAGTTAGGGATAGTGTGAAAGGGTGTGTCTTGGACTGTTTCGACTTTTTTTTCCCGAAAGAATGTAATGAAAAGATAGCTTTGCCTCTTGCAAATTATGCGCGAGCATATTTGTTGCATCTGCCCGCAGGTTATCACGTTAAAAAGGGTCTCTCTCTCTCTCTCAAATAACAGTAGAGGAGTGAAATGTACAAACCTACATGTGAAAAATCGTTTAACGTAAGAGAGATGCAGCTATCCCCACACCCCAGGATTCGCGCATAAGAAACGACTTCATGGACATGGAAGAGACATCACGAGACACAAACTCATCCATGTACATATGGAGAGTGATAGCTGATATCTAATCATCACTTCAGCATTGTCAAAGGAACGTACCTATATTTCTAATTCATGATGTGGCAATCAGCAAAGAAACTCAACATTGAGGATGGATTTTTCTTACGAAGCAGCTTACACTACCACATTGGAAGTCATTCATGCAGAAGAGTTTTAGAAAAGACCAGGAGATATCGCTCCTAACGAGGTGACGAGGTTAATGACCAACTAAACATTTGTCAGAGAGGGGTGGTCAGCCGAGTGCATGACAATCACGTGATGTGGACATACTGCCTAGATAGCACTACTGGTGACGACAGGGTGTAATGTTGGTTGCAGCAACCAAGGCAACGAGTGTAAGAGATAGATTCAGTACTAATTATTCTGTGGTCGACTCTTGCAGATCCTTTTCATACCCACAGATCCATTCCACAAGAGTAAAATTCCTTTCTTAGTAACCACCCCACATCATCACCAGAGCATCACGCCGTAGTATCTCCACGCAAAACCTACTGGGTTTACTTACCGAGTTCGGACTAAATTAGAGCGATATGTATGGGTCTTACGACCACGTGTAGTACCGAGGTTCAGTGGGCTCGTGCGAGCCAAAGTAAGCAATACACCACAGCCACAGCGGGACCTAGAAGAATACGATTAGGGTTTTGATAGTGTGACTGCGAGAGTCTATGAAAAGACATGGTAATTCGTAGCGAGCGGGGCGGGTGCGTCCAACGTGCATGCCCCTTTTTGTGCTGATGGGAAAAACGTGCTGATGGGAATCTAGAAGTAGATGTGTGTATGTGGATATGTCCATGTGATTGCTTTGGTAGCGATACTTTTAGTAACGGGATCACGGCACCTGTTTCCATACTGTGTCTTAGTTAACGCTGACTCGATAGAGTTGTGTACCCGGCATGCTGAGGTACACTCATCAACTAGTCGACACTGTGCCGTTGAAATCAGAAAACGAAATCCGTATCAAATACGAAAAGTCTATCCACACGAGGACCAGATGACACAAAATCGATACAGTCGATGCCGATCTAGATGTATCGAATTCGTAAAAAAAAGGGCACCAATAGTGCCTTACTCCACAGTCTAGAATAGCACTGACAGTTCCGCCCCCAACCATGTCCGACATTTGGGGGCGAAATCTCGGAAACCAAGCTCTTAGAGCTGAGCTGACATGCTCACCATGTGGAGTTTGAACGATTGATCACAGATTAGCGAGAGAGACTAGATCTGGAGGCTGGAAAAAGGGACAATGCGTAAACGGGTATGGTGCACGTGCGCATTCGCCCGTGGATTCTGCCGTTAGGTTGGAACTGGTGTTTTGCGGAAAAGAATTTTTTCCCTACTACTGCAGCACCACCATGACGCGTACTGATGCACCAAGAAGAGTGCATTGCCCAGGCTGCTGAGCAAAAGCATGTTGGAACAAGGTTCATCGGGATTTCGTACGAAAAGAAAGTTTATGCGAGGGTTTGTGCTGCATACTTACGTCGGCCGGCGGTTCCTGGCATGAGGCCGAAGTGCTTTGTCAAGGCTGACAGAACATTGTTGCACGCGGGTGTATGCTACCGCACGGACATAACCAGCGTCAGCCGAAAGGTGCTTGGCAGGGTGCGATCGGCCCAACATCGCTTCAAACACGGCCTGGGAGGGGGATGCCGACGGGCCCAGGGAAGCGGCAGAACCCAATGTATTGCTTTACAAATGTTACTATTAGAGTAAGAGCCAGATAATAGGCAAAACGCAAATCGGTACTGGCGACGTAACCATAGTCGTTCGACCCCACCCACCCTGCTAGGCTCCAATTGGAAGCCCGGAAGCCTTCTCCGCATTTCAACAATGGTGTCGCAGATACCCACTGAATTGAGTTGAGTCTTGTTGCAGCAAAAGAAGCCAAACGTGGTTATCATGCGTCGGTCGCATGGAGTAAGGGGGGGAGAGAGGGGGGATTGAGTTGGGGTATGACGTTGAGGGCACAATGCCCATCGTGACCCAAACGGGTTTGGTCCGCAGACGTAATTAATAGTGTTAGTGTTACACTGCTAAAAGTTATTGGAAGCCCAATGGCAGCATTGGGTTGCAGTACGCTGGGTTGACGTTGCCCTGCATATGCTGGTTTAGTGATTCTGGAATAAGACTGCGTGATTGATAAGACGACAGGAATACGAAAGATCGGGCAATGTGGGTGTAGCAAGTAGAGATAGTATCAGCACGTAAGGTGTCAGGGTATGAGGGGCCGGTGTGTCACGGCAGCGATGTGAGTGGAGAGCGGCACAAACACGCGATTTGGCGTCATGATCGGCATACAAGCCGCCGTACAAAGGACATGTTGAACGGCAGAAACTTGGACGAAATCAAGTTGACGCAGGGTCTCATCATCCCATATTCGCGGATTGGCGGGACGATGAACTAAGGGGTATGGCGCCCGCACAACCGTTTGTGTTGGCGGATGGATGACAGCGTTGTGGGGCCTCCGACAGGTGATTTGCACCCTGATATCCAGTCAGGGTAGCAGTGGTTGTCTATAGTAAAGAAGAAAGGAAAAGATTCTCACTTGGCAGAGGACGATAGGGTTCAAAACAAAAATAGAATAATGAAGCAAAGCTGCTCTACTGCAGCTCGCACTCGTGAAGACACACAGTTGTGCGGATGCGGATCTTGGTCGGAAATGGAAGCAGAACTCGGGGATAGTGACGTCATGACTGATTGCAAGCGAGCGACTAATGCTCATGCCCAAGCGACAGAGGAAACAGCAACGCCGAAGCGACCGGAAGACAAAGGGGATTTTCCTGCTGATTCTGGAGTGTTGTGTGGGTGAAAAGCATAAGCAAAAAATAATGCATGTATTACATACCGATGTATGCACTGTACTAGAACTAGTACCTTCGGTCCAAGTACTCCGCGGAAATCTGTGTGTCGCGTGTGGCCGTGCATCTGCTTTGAGATGTGGCTAGTGGCTTCCATCGGCGAATCGAAGGCCCAGATGTTCGGAGAGGCCGGGGTTGCAGCAGCGTTAAAGCGTCCGTGCATACGATAGGGCTGCACTGCCACATGGAAGTGTAATGGACCCTGCATATTCACGGATCTTGTCCGTCTATGCGATGCCACGTCGACTGGATGAGATGCTTGCTATGCCTGTAGAAACTATCCTTCAGCCTCAAAGGTTCGGAAGAAGTCTCGGTAAAAAAATCTTCCTTGCGTGGTGTTGTGGTGTGATGTTGTTTGTTGCCTGTCGCCCCGGCGGCTCCGTGGTAGACCAAGGATACTGCCAATGCCCAAGCGGAACCACTTGTTCCAGCTGCGGGTTATCTGCGGGTTGAAGGGGGACATGCAGCTGATCTTGTAATACAGAGACCTATCGCTAGTAGCATGTGAAAGACCCAGCTGCGTGGGTGTGGCTGTGTCTCCAGTCTGAGCAAAGCATCCGGGTGATGTGCATCTCGGTTGCCAGTGCCAGCAACGTGGTGCGGGAACCGTTTGGCCACCACAGATCCAGCTATCAATAGTACAGGGCAAAATATGGGGTAGGCTATTGACG